TTACTTCCGCGAATCGATAGTAAGTGTTTTTATCTTGCTCGCCCTATTGGGCAAGTTGCCTTGCCACAAAAACCTGGGTCTCTTTAAGTTTATGCTTTCATTGTCGGATAAATTTTTTATAGTGCATTTACTTGATTCAAGTTTTGTTTTTTGTGGGCCAAAGCTAGATCTCAGGCAGTATGGGCCTTAACATCTCGAAGAAAGGGTTTCGCTCGAAACGTCAAAGCTTGGCTTGTAAATTTCAGGTAGTTGATCCAACCTCCTGCGCTACAAACCGTTCGGCTTATACTATTGCATTAATTTGTTTAGGGCTCTGAACAAAGACAAAGAAGTTTGCTATCGACTGTTTCAAAGATTGTGCGCTTCGTTCAAGTAAGTCAAATATGTTGTGTTCACTTATTTCCTTTGTGTGGACGTTTATGCCTGTTGCCGCTCCGAATTCATCTAACCTACATGACAAACGGTCCACCCGCGAAGTGGAACACCCGAGAGGCGGGCAACCGGCGTCCGCCTTTCCCCTGCGGATTAAGTTTGGTCTACAGTAAAAATCCACATAAAAGAACCACTATTTTTATGTCTGGCCAAGAAACCAGGCTGAAAAATCAGGCCATGTTGGTTCTTTGATTTATTTCTAGTAAAAAAACAATGGACTTTATCTATTTCATTTTTGTTCCAATGGCCTAGGGTCCGAAAACCCAAATATTTTTTGGCCTAATCGTGTTTCTGTAATGGTATTTCAGACCTGGCATTCCCGGTCCAGACTCTTTGTCAACTCTGTCGACAGCCACAGAACTTCTTCAGTTATTGATGCCTTCGAGCACGCCCGGAGTGCCGAGCAAACCCGAAGATGCTACGGAGGATACCGAATCAGCAATGGAAACAGGTAATAAGGAAGAGGAAAGGAAAATAGAGACGGGAAATGATGGCGATAAAGTGGAAGAAATTGACATCGATGTTGAGGGAAAAGACGGCAAAGATCAGCAAAATGAAAAAGGTTGGAAAGTTCGACTTTACTAATATCGCGAATAAATAATAGAGATCAGAATACAAAATATCTTCGTAGGAAATGTTCTTAGAAAATTTTAGGAAAATACTAGAATGCCATATAATTTACTTATTGTTTACAAAAGGGTTTTGCAAGTGGAGATCGTCTTGTGCCGAGATTGAATTTGATCACAATAGGGCCATTTATACGGGCGAAAATAAGCCGTGGCCTAAGGGAGTGTTCATTATTTATACCCGGGGTTGGTACCGTTCAAGAGAAACTAATCGAAAAGAGAAAAAAACAACTACCCACCCTTTCGATCAACCATTTTTTTCCCTATCCAACTATTGCGTGACTTGGATTTTTATTTTACCCAACCCAATTTCAAAATTATACAAGTATTTTACATATATACATATATATTATTATACAAGCTAGGCCACTATAGTATAAACAGTACTGTGCATATTTGGTGCACCAACTGAATGTCAAATATAATCATTTGTATACCTTCACAAGTTCATATTATGTTCCCAAGCTTCCAAGTTCCTGCAGTCCTACCATATCTGATATCTCGTTGTTGTAATCAGAGGGGATGGGGAGTTGGAGTTTAGTTTTCTTTGTGGGGAATGAATGGATATTTCCTGGTTTGTATTGAAAATAATTTACCCAACCATAGGCTTTGTTCAAAAAATATTTACCCAACCCTTCATACCCCAGAAAAATGACTTACCCAACCCATTTCTCTTCGGTACCAACCCCGGGTATAAATAATGAACACTCCCTAAATAAGCCGCGGCTTAAATCGAAAAAACAGTCAATTTGCAATAAGCCGCGGCTTATTTAGGCCTAGCTTTCAAGCCTGGGCTTATATTTTAGCCGCGACTTATTGCAAATTGACTGTTTAAAACGAGTCGTTCGCGACTTATTTAAGCCGCGGCTTATTTAGGCTGTGGCTTATTTTCGCTCGTACAAATGGCCCTAATTAATGGGGCACCATACGTTCTCTGAAATCTACATGTGCAGGAAGTTTTATATTTGACTTATACAGGAAATTTTTGCTTTTGAATTTCGCTGCCAGGAAGAGAGATATTTTGTACGCCTGCATCCAAAAGTAAAGTAAAGAGAAAACTCCAAAATACATACGTAAAAAGTTGAATTGACTAAACCTTGGCTAAAATCAATCACATTCCATTCATAAACGTCCTCAGAGCTATAATCTTCACGATCTTCCCTTTAGCTTCTTTTGGACAGTTTGCGAATGATCCGCCGTTGTATTCAAGGAAAATCCACGTGTCAGTGCGAGAATTCCAGGAATTAATGAAGACGACTGGAGAACATGAAAATCCATTGGAAACTCTTGAAGCTTTGTTGGAGGTAATTTCTGCAGCTGGAAGTTTTTATTCCCCAACTAAAAATATCGTTCTCTACAAATAACCAAACACAAACCGCGTTTAATCCATTGAGTATCGGCATTTCCCCTTTGACAAGTAAAATTTCCTCTTGTTTCAAAATATTAATTAAATATTACTTGCTTTTGTGTTAGAGAATCGAGTTTTAACCTCGGTTGGACCTACATGTTGTGCAATCTCTGTTAAATTAAACGCAGGCAAACTCTAACGGCGTCAAGCAGTTACACTGTTCCTCAACCGAGCCTTAACCAAACATCAAATGTGCTTTAACCGAAACTCGATGGAATTTCCGCCGCAGTTTTAGACTTTTAGGTTGTTATTGGATGATAGTCTAACGATTGTTTTAATGCTATTCAGAAAAGTTGCAAGGAAGACGAGACATTGGAAGCACTTCTTAATGGCGTCGCGTCGCTAAGGAAAGTTGAAGATGTCAAAAGTGAAATGGAAGGTTAGAATCATATACCGCCATAATAATAATAATAATAATAATAATAATAATAACATTTCTATAGCGCATATACATTACTGTTCTATTCGCTTTACATTGTAAAATTAAGTATACAGTAGTTTACATCTATTATATATGTATAAGCTATAATATTAAGATTCTTCTTATAAGTCTCATATGTCTATATATGTATATCTAAAAAACTAGTAAAAATATTAAAATAAAATCTCTTATAACTGTAAGTCATATGTCATAAGCTAATTTAAAAAGATGAGTCTTTAATTTGGATTTAAAAATATTAATGTCAGTTATAGATCTAATATCCACTGGCAGTGTGTTCCAAAGTTTTGGGGCAGTTACCGAAAATGCCCGATATCCATAGGTTTTAAGTTTGTATGGTTGTTCTGTAAGACGCCATTTATCTGCTGATGAGCGAAGTATTCTTGTTGGTTCATAACGGCATATAAGTTCTTGTAAATATTTAGGAGCAATGTTATTTACTATTTTGAAACACATTAAATTAATCTTAAAAACTATTCTTTCTTGAACTGGCAACCAATGTAGGTTTCTTAAAGTTGGGCTGATGTTTTTATATTTTACAATCGAATGACGTCTTATTATTTTTTACTTGTTTTTCTAGATACAAAAGAAGACAACGAACCTGTCCTACCAGCCGCCCAGCCATTGCAAACTTTGTTCAATAAACGAGCAGCCTTCAGTTCTGGAGAAGATGTCAGTGGCAGGTTTGAGAATTTCTTTAAATTTTTCCTGTAGGAAGCTACCACATTCCTGTTTAAGGGATGTTAGACTTTTATTTCTGTAATATAATATTTTAATCTCTTACACTTATCTCAGGGTTAGCCCTACATTATGGTATTCAACACCACCACCAGACGATGTTGATGTAGAATCTGAACTGGTATGTAACGTTTTAGAGATACAGTTCACACGTAAAAACACACAAGTTGTCACAGGTCTGCAAACGAGTTGTTACAAATCTGTTCACAAGCTGTCCACAAGTTGTGTTCGCATTGCTTGTTCCTGGTTGTAACAAGTTTGGAGAAAGCTAACTTGTAATAAGTTTGATGGCATCATTAGACTTGTTACAAGGTTGTTCTATAACAAGATTTTGCGTGTGTAGCTGAAGATAGCAATTTCATAATTCCTAGGAACAAACGAACCTAGTCAGCGATGTATTGTGGGCATGTTTTAAAGGGGACAAAACACCAATAATTTTTTCTCCCCCTTACTAACGATCCACAATGCAACACTACTCTTCTCTATAAAGTGTAGAATATTTTAAGAACACTTCCATTGCCGCGACTGTAATACTTCTTTCTTTCCTGTCTCGGATTATGAGCTTAAGATTATACATTATTTATCGCTTGATGTATTCCAGGTCAACTGCGATTTCGAAGAAGTGAAAACAAAATATTTCCCAGACTTTGACATCAAAGCAGAATTGGAAAAAGAGTTGCAGTCATCTGTGCAAGATTCACCTAAGAGAAAACATGGTTTTAAAAAGTAAGTTTTGTAAATGAAAGGTAGTTCAGTTACCAATAACTACTGGATCTCTAGGAAGAAGAACAGTTTAGAACTGCTAGAGCTATATATCCAGTATTAGTATAGGTAATCATGCGATGGCGAGTATAATTAGGGATTAATAGTACGAGTGAGTCCCGCCGGGGCGAGACATGTTTATTATCAGCATGACAAAATTGGATACATACTTCTTAATGTCAACATCATATTCTCTCGCCAAAGCCCAGTTCTGCCAGACTTTCAACCATAGTTTGGTGCTTTACTTCGTGTTTTCATTTAGTCCTTTTGTTAAAGCAAAATTTGGTGCTTTTCTTCGTGTTTTCATTTAGTTCTTTGGTTAAAGCAAAATTTGGTGCTTTTGTTCGTATTTTCATCTAGTTCCTCTAGGACAATTTCATTTCACATAATCACATTTGTGTTCAAAATACCTTTCCGCCATTTGCTAGTTTTGGGAAAATCATTAATTGTACTGCAGCTCTCTCCCCCGCAGAGGCTTTCGTTTTCTTAGGATTTAATATTACGGTGAGATACATTTCACTACACTTTACATGGCGGATTTTGGAACACTAGCAAAAGTACTGCAGTACAATTAATGAAATAATTGTACTCCTCTCAACCAATCAGCATCCAGTAATTTTTTCATGCTAATAATAAATAAAGTTAGTTTAATTCGGGTTTTCTCTCCTAGTATAATAGGATAAATATGGGATGACCCGTACTGGAATTATTCAGTATGATTAGTTTCATATCTTACCCTTGAATACCATATACTTTCTAGGTTGGGCAAACGCAAATTTGTGTCCATGATCCTAGAGAAAGGAGACCCACAGAAAAAGGCGAAACAAGATGGTAACGTATACAAAGTTGGATTACTTTAGGTTTCCTCCTGTAATAACGCTCTACGGAGACCAGTATACAACGAATTGATACAGCTATCCTATGTAATTAAAGTTTGTCTAATTATTCATTTTCCATCCCTCAGCTTTAGATCGTGGCCGAGGTCGTGGCGGAATGTTCCGAGGTGGTCGCGGTGGTGCAAGATATGATAACTTCCGAGCCCGCACACAGAATACCAGTCGTCCTCCCTCCATGCATGTAGACGACTTCGTGGCGATGGAGAGTGGGCGTGGCAGAGGAAGGGGTAGGGGTGGGCAGTCAACCTTAAATGATCGTTCTGCAGCCAGACCTTCGATACGCAAGGTAGGTGGGGAGCAGAAGAAAAGAGAAGGAAAAGCCATTCACCACACTTTGGACAGTAACACTTGTACATCTATCTGCAGGCAGTAACTCTTGTAGTTTATCAATCTGAAAGTTGATCTATATAGTAGAGAGTGAGGGCAGAGAATAAGGGCAGTCTCCCTTAGCTTGGCCGTCCCTAGCAATCAAGCAAACCTATATCAAGCAAACCTTTCAGTTTGCCTGGCTTGGACACACTCAAAGACAACATCACAAAAATATACCTTGATGCAGCTGAGTGCATAGCACCAGAAACGAATCTAGGCAGATATGAACTGGTCAGGCTAGGCTAGTTTAATACCTTTTGTTTATCGTTGCGAAGACAAGCAGATATTGTTTTAAAAGTTGCATTTCAGGACATAAATCTAATTTCCGATAATGTCCCAATTTATGCTTTTTAATAAAACTATTTAAGTTTTTAGTGAAACTATACGCGTGCCTTAGAATATCAGTCAAGCACGGACATTGTCCGACGTAGAGAGGAAGCCACTGGACATTCTGTCCGACTTAAGTGAAGCTGAGGTTTATTGTTTGTACGATCGTAGTGAATTGGTGTCCGACCTAACTGTAACTTTGTCCAACGTAAATCAAAATGTACCCTAGTCCAGGACTAGAGACTCGTGTGTTAAATGGAGAATCAGAGTAATGTATAGAAAGTGAACTCCAAGTCAAACTGAACTCAAAGTCATTGGACATCACAATACATATGTCCGACACAAAGTTATCGAACATTTTGTCAGACGTTCTCTGACCGATATTTTAATTTTGTTTTCATTTAACTTAGATTCAGACATTGAACCGTAACTCGCCAGATCCTCACAGATTGGAAGGATTTTTGCCAAATGATGGACGCTGGAATATACCTGGCGCATCTCGTAGAGAAGGTGGGCACTAATGCTGAATGTAAAATACTTGGGATGATGCTTGAATACTTGATTTTTGGCGTTTCGTGCTTAACATACACACGTAAAAATGATGCACAAGTTGTTACAGATATACAAACAAGTTGTTACAAATCTGTTCACAAGCTGTCGACAAGTTGTCTCGCACTGCTTGTTCCTTGTTGTTGGAACAAGCTGTTAGCAACTTGTAACAAGCTTGATGGCATTATCAGATTTGTTACAAGGTTGTTCTAACAAGTCTGGTACTGTCATGATATAACAAGAATGTTACAAGGTTGACAACATAAGATTGTAACAATATTGTTATATCATGATTGTATTGGCTTGTTAGAACAACCTTGTAACAAGTTTGATAATATCAACAAGGTTGTTACAGCTTGTTCCAAACTTGTTGACAACTTCAGAGAAGCAGTGCTAACACAACTAATTGTTGACGGCTTGTTGGCAGACCTGTTACAAGATGTAAGTTTTTGCGTGTGTACGCCAGCAGCTAAAACGTTCAAAGTCATGTGGGATTTTTATGTTGTTTGTAAAGAAAGATACGTACTTCTAAGAGGAAAAAAAGTTCAGTAATGTATGCTTTGGCACGCATATACAAAAAGTTAAGTGATTTGGTTTTCTGCCGTTCTCGGTTGCCAAACGCTTTTTTTGCCAGACGCAAGTACATACCCAGAATGTCCCAGATTATCGCAACTTCTCACGCTACAAAGCTCCTACATTACTGTATTGAAATCTGATTTCTATTTCCAGTTTCCCTGGCGGCGCATCCGTTACACGCATTACGCAATCAAGCGGCTTGGGAACCACGCCAAGCTATGGACACAGCGGGATTTCTGGAACGAGGCTTTCAGAGAGCGTGAGTATACTACTTGGAAATATCGTATACGATTGCCATTCTGGATTAAAATATAACCCGTTGTTTTAGTATGTGTATTTCTTCAAAAACTTCAAAGAAGAAAACTCCTACTGATTCAGACAAGATCTCTGAACAAATATTTCCAAATTTATAAACAAGCTGTTGGAAATTTGCTTTGAATTTTAGGTGAACCTATAGGATTAAGTTAACCCAGCTTTGTACAACTGGCCCCAGGGGCCGGTTGTATCAAGCCCGTTTAGCTTAAACGGTGGATAAGTCAAAATTAAATAGAACTCATATCTCCCGTGAATCAGTTAACTTAAATATTCTGCACTGAATATGAAGTTGTAAACATTATCGTTCTATTAAAGTTCAAAACTTTTAATTTGGTTGTTGAATGAATGTATAGACTTGCTTTCTATTTTGAGCTTAACCACCGTTTAAGCTAAACGGGCTTGAAACAACACTGAACAGGCCCCAGGCGTATTAAAAATATGCGGTCGTCAATGTCCTGTTTATGGTGAAATTTGAAATGTGTGACCTCACCAACATAAATAACTTAGGTTTTCTGTTATTCTTTTTTAGAGGCAACTGGGGAACGCCGGCCACTGTAAACTACAGAGGTAAGTCCTTTTTGCATGGCGTGGTTCAGATTTCTGACGAGATGGGGGTAAACCGTAGACCCAACTTCTGTTAAAGGGGAGTGGCCATATATTTTTTTAGTTTCTCATTTGAAAATTCATCAAAAATTTATCCAAGATGGCGGACATCTCATTACTTCAAGTGAAAATATTTCAAGAACTAAGCAAGATATGAAAAACCGGTAAACGAAGCTAATATATAGTTTCAAAAGTTCATTCAAATGAGAAAATAAAAAATTACATTGCCATTTCTCTTTAAGTTTTTTTTTTGTATCATGGAACTTTTGTCAAGCGCAAAAACGAGCTGTGAGTGTTGTGACCAATGGGACGTTTGTTTGAAGTTTTTGCCTAGGATTAAAGCAACAGGATACTGATGTTTAGTTGATGATATTCCTTGTTCCTCTCAGGTTTCCGTGAGACAGCTTATCGTGATCAACAGTTGCGCGGAGGATTCTGGGCAGGACCACAACAGGAAGCAGAACGCAAAGATGCCAGGTATAACGAAGCCGTGTTTTTATTATAAAACTATATTTTGGACACACTAGTATCAGGGTTTCCAATAGAATTTGAAGTAAGAGGCTTTTTGAAAGAAGAATATCGTGTAAAATTCTTTGGTAAAGATGAATAACCTGCGATTGTCTATACGCTATAGACGGCGAAAATCTCCTGTGCCGGGTCTTGTTTGACAATTTCAATCATGTTACTATATCTAATGATAATTAAAATGGTCTTCATTTCACAAGATAAAAAATACATATCGTATGTTACATAGATCAAAGAATTCTGATATATTACAAGGCTAAATTATATTTAAAACACTCATTAATAATTCATAAGCTTATTGGCAAATCATGTCAACCATAATATGTCATGTGAAGAGGCTTTATACCTGAAAAACTCATCTTCATTAGTATTCTTTATATAAAAGTCCTTCCTAATTAGTATTCTTTATATAAAGAGTATATAAAGAATACTAATGAGACGGCATCTATTGTAGTCGTGTTTGAAGCTATTCAAAACACTTGCAGGAGAGTTTTATCATATCTAAAATGCTCGTGCTGCGCACTCGCATTTTAAATATGACAAAGTAGTACTTAAAAAATAGTACTTAAAAAATAGACGATTAATATAAGAATTTTAAAACGGTCTGTGTTAATCTTTGGACAGAAACTAGATCTTTTTTATTTTTGCTTTTGTAATTGCCTTCGTAAATCCACAAAGTTGATTTGATAAGGAAATTGGCACCCACCCCCTTTGTCGAGACTAGGGAGGGGTACGTACCCCCTGCACCACCCCGCAGTAAATCCATCCCCGTAACGAGCATTCCAATCTTAGTTTATGTTTATATCAGTGGTCGTCATTTACTGTTTCAGATTCCTTCCTCCCCCACCAGCGAACTTCGACAACTACAGAGCTGGAGGAACACGTGGTAGACACATGAGATCTTTTACAAGATAAAACAAATACTTTTCCCACCAAAATGTACATCATTTCATGCTATTCATGTAAGTAAAGGTAATTATTTGACAGGCCCTCAATAATTAAATTGTCAACAGTTTTCTGGAGAAGTATGTACGGTTCCTGAAATTTATTCACCAACGAAATCCTTCGTCGTCAAGGATATTCAAAATCTGCAATGACGGAGTTTTCATGGCGAATCTTCGCATTTCGCAGATCATAACCATTTGCGGAATTTTTGGAGAAAGGGTGCGCCTTTTGGTAGCAAACCTTTTGGTAACTTTTTGAGGACATGGGTGCACATGATATTTTTCTCATTGTAATTCCCTGAGCAGACCAAAGCATACACATGCAATGCATGATGTAAGATTGGTCGAGAATTAAACTTTTCTAGTCAGTTTTGCAGTTTTGGATAATCAAAAATTAGAAAACCTCATCTCTAAAATGGTTCGATTTTATGAGGTTGGTTGGGGGGGGGGGGTGCAAGTTCACGCCCATAAACCATTACTGACATTTTTGGATCAGAACCTCGATATTTCATCTAGATACTGAAAATTTCACCTCAAACGTCAAGTGTCTTATAAGGCCCTTTTCCACTGTAAAATGTGATTGGCCAACACAAATTTTCCGTGGGAAAAAAATTTTGAAGTTAAAATTTTCAACTTTTAACAATGACATTTTCGGAAAATTTTCTGTTCGTGGAAATTTTCTTCATTGGAAATGGTCCTTTAGCCCCTTATACAGTCTACATTCGCTAGGTTGTTAATTACATCATTACTGTAAGGCTATGTCAAAATATGGCCTGCTATTTAATACCATCCCATTTTCCTCTCCACATCTTCCTCTGTTTTCATCTCTTGTCTGTGATCAACCTCATTCTCGTCAAATGAATGTACTTCGTGTAAATCAAACTCATCTGTTCTGTCAATTGGCGACTGCCAGTCGCGAGGGACTGGGATGAGTGGCATGCAATCATTTATAGGAAGAACTCGCAGCATCTCGACTTCGCCTAGAAACGAAGGAAAGGAAATAATAAGGTATTCAAAATGGCGGCGAAGAGTCGGAAAACGAAGACAAAATTGCAGTTTCTTATTTCTTGTAGTAATTTCCTGAAGTCCGCGATAAATTTTGATTATATTTTGATCATTGATACCGAAAGCCTTGGAGCGAATTACAATTTTTAAGTAGCGACTAGTTTTTGACTTTTTTTAAACTTACAGTAGTTGTAGCGACATAATTTTTTTCAATATACAGGTAATTCAAAAAAGGTTGTCCTTTACAAACCTTAATTAAACTCTAAACCTTAAACTCTAAGCGTGCAAAGCATAATGGGAGCATCATTTAATCAGTTTAGAAATCATATACGGGGCCCATTTCTTTGAGACATGGTAAATATCTCCTTACGAGAACAATTCATTCACAAATAGCTGTAATATTCAACTACTAAGCTTGAAACTTGTGCTCCTATTAAGCTTTGCGCGCTTAGAGTTTAATGTTCAAGGTTTAGAGTTTAAGATTTGCAAAAGACAATCTTTAGAATTGGCTGTCTCTCTTGGCTTACTGTAAAGCTGTCGATCCATAAGACGAATATTTATCGCCATGCAAACAAACGTTCAAGGAACTTATTTCGGTTGTCCGCAAAAAAGGTACATAGTAATTAATATACAAGCATGTTTCATTCCGACGTGTTTCCTACCTTCTTGTGTCTTTGTTAAGATTCCAACATCCTCCAGGAAATTTGTGCAGTCGTTGGGATCAAAATCAATATTTAAACCAAATTTATTTTCCATCCAACCTTCGATCTGTGCCTGGAGTTCCTCTTTAGTAATGCCATCGGTGTATTCCTCGTCAGAAGGACTTTCCTCTGCAATGGAAATTTTAAGGTCCGTTTACACAATTGTTGCTGCGATTTTCGTCCCTCATGGCAGTGGTGTACAACTTATAACAAGGGGGCTCTTGGGGGGGGG